AAAAGGGAACCAGTTGACACGATGTTTTTCTGAGTATTGATATATAATTAAATAAATAAATAAATAAAAAGTAAAAAGATGTATGTTACAGAGTGCCACAGAAATGTATGGGATTACATTAATGGGTAATATAGAAAAGGATGTTTGATGGAATAATGAGATAAAAAAGGCTGTGGATGAGGAAAAAAAGAGAATGTGCTGAAAAAATGAGGATGAGAGGAAGCTGCTGTACAATGTGCATAGAGAAAAATTGTGTAGAATGGGGAAATGGATGGCTGAATTTTAAAATATGCAAATTCTGGAAGAAAGTTAGTGGATGGTATCTAGTCTGTAAAAGGATGTTTGATGGAATAATGAGATAAAAAAGGCTGTGGATGAGGAAAAAAAGAGAATGTGCTGAAAAAATGAGGATGAGAGGAAGCTGCTGTACAATGTGCATAGAGAAAAATTGTGTAGAATGGGGAAATGGATGGCTGAATTTTAAAATATGCAAATTCTGGAAGAAAGTTAGTGGATGGTATCTAGTCTGTAGCAATGAATGGATCTTGTCCAAAGAAGTGAATATGGCTCTGTATAAGTGCTTCTGCCCACTTTGTTATATGGAAATGAGAGTTGGGTATATCTGAGAAATATAAAGGGAAGTTGAATGGAGTGGGTATGGGTTATTTAAGAAGTTGCATGATAAAGCAAGAACTGACAGAATCAAGAACAAAGGGGTGTTGAATGTATGTGGACTGAATACAAAAGGGAGGGACCAAAGAGAATGAATGAAGCTCAAACAAATTTATGAAGGAAAAATGAATGGGTCAAGAGGAGGGAGAAGACCAAAAATGGTATGTTTACATGGAGCTATTGCAATCTTCATAAAGAGAGAAGTGAAAACTGTAAATAACAAAAGGTGATGTATGAATTGGTGTATGAACAAGAAAGTTTGTGGAAGCAAAGATAGTTTGCAAATAATAGAAGTATAGGGAATATTGCTGGTGTAAATAATATTTAACTATATTTCCTTTTCTTTTTTCTTACCACTTCACTAAAAGACTTTAATTCATTTTGCTTAGCATTTCTTAGTCTTTTTCTGCATTTTTGTATGATACTGCTTATTCTCAAAAGGAATAGCATAATGTCTATGATGTTTTTTATTTTTATATTTCTTTGTTTTTATTGCAGGGGAATCAAAGCCCAGACCCAAGTAAGTACATATGCCTTAAATTTTATGTTACGGTAAATATATTAAAATGTAAGCTGCTTCTAGACAAGGTTTTTGTCATATAATTGCTCTGCCACATTCAATAAATTTTATAGATCTAGATGAGATGCCATTATCTCTCATGTATAACCCACCCATGTTTTTCCACTGGTTCTTTTATCTTTTTTCTTTCATCAGAAATGTTTAAGAAGCAAAAGATGGAAGAATCTTTTGACACTGGAGCTGTTGTCTTCTGTATATTTTTTCTCAAGTGGCAGCAGGTCTTCCATTCTATAGGTATCATTTTGAGGGAACCCTAGAATAATGCTTCATAAGATGGTTGTAGTGGCTATTTATGTGGGTATTTATGGAGCCAGATGCCACAGTAAACCACAACACCTTGCTCTGAGGACCCCTCAGATCAATATACGTAGGACAGCCAGCATGGTTGTACTACATGCTCAGCTGGAAGCAATACTCAGGTGGGGACTGGACTCACATTTGCTGCTGAAATGAATGTGCCACCCACACACTGCTTCATTGCCTCTAATGATATAGCTGACCTTGCATAGGGAAAATAATTGGAGAGATATTTTCTAAGATTTGATCATTGAATTGGTTCTCCTCTTAGCACTATACCACAGACAAAGCTCAAGACCCAGGGAAGAGCAGAATGGAGGCGCAGACATGGTGACTGAAGTAGGAAGCCATAAATATCAACTGTTCTATCCTTGTTGCCTCTTAGCCTGCTCTCTCTTAGCTGCATGTCACTCAGATGCTTTAATCTACCCTATTTAGCATAGATTGCCCCATTTATAGTATGGCTGTGACCAATCCATTTCACAGTCCTTTAAACCTGAAATCCTCTGGTGATTAACTAAGCTTTGGAGCAACCTGATACAAGGAGATCCCAGAGTGCTCTGCATGCAGCAGCTGTCTTGGGATCCTCCATTATCGAGATGTCATTGCAGGATCAACAGCTGTCTGCACCAGCTAAGCTACAAACTCTTTTTAACTTCATCATTCTGTACACTTTCTTGCAATCTACACAATACTTTGTCATCTCATATAATTTCTGCTACAAATGACAGGACCTTAATTTGCATTCTCAATATATCCGTAAGTTGATAGCTTTCAGATTGAATTAACCATAAACATTAAACACTGGAATGACGTGAGTTTCATCTCATAAGGTCAGGATATCAACTATTCCTCTGTGGTTGTTTCTTATTCTCTCTATTCATCAGAAGAGTCTTTTATTCCTACAGCCAAGGCTCTGGTTGCAGTTAGACTTCAGAAGTTTCTGAAATGGTCTGAGCAGCAAGTTGGCCATCCTAAATTTCTATGAATTTAATTATTCTGTGAAATTGTGATGTTCCCAAACTATTCAAAAATATAAGCACAGCCTTCAACCTGAATCTCCTATGAGATAAAATCAAGTTGCAATCCTGAACTTTGGAAGAAGCCCTTTTGGATTCAATACAGCTTTATACTTCTGTTGTAGGGATGAGTAGGATATAATCTTGTATATAGTAACTGGGAATAAATTCCACTGAACACAGTGGATTTTTTTTCTTTTATATTACATTACTGTTGTTTAAACATACAGTATTCAATGAAACATTGAAAATAAAACTAGATAAGAAAAAAAAATAAAAACAGTGAAGATAAATTAGACAAAATGAAAGAAATGGCTTGGGACTTTTGTTTGTAATATGAAAGAAAAAGAATTGTAAACATCATGCTAAACAGATATTTCTATTTTTGAAAATGTATAGATAGAGGTACTCTATTAGGAATTGTTCTGTTGATACGAATAAAAATTGAAACCAAATGTGAGTAAAAGGACATTTAATTAAATGATTCTTTGTAACTCAGTTCTGTGCCAATTTTTCAGCTAATGCTGTTCCCCACACTTTTCGATACCATTGATCCAAAGAAATAAAATACTTTGGTATAGCAGTGTTATGCTAGAGTAAAGCTAGCAACTAAAAACCAAAATTGAATTCATTCCTTTACTGTATTATTTTCTTGTTTTGTATTATTTTATACATCTTGGGAAAAATGGACAATATATTTTATTATGATTATTTGTGAAAGACTGTTGCATAATGTGCTCAAAAATTGTCAACCCAACTGAACCGATTGAGGGCAAAACCAGTAACTAAATTTTATTTTCAGTAAAATTACATAGGATTATACTGCTAATAAACTTTTTAAAAAATGAATTCCATAGCAGCAAATACACGATCCCTTTGGGTAGTTCAGTATTATCTGGAAATTATCTAGAATTTTTAAAAATGTCAGCCACAGAAGGGCTGAGACAGATGGAAAGCAGCTGTAGTTTGCAGCCTTAGATGATACCATCACAAGGATAGCATTCCATTGCCAGATATGAAGTTATTACAGCTGCTCAATAGTTCATCTAAATTGGGTAAAGGGAAATAAAACTGCAATGACAGGTGTGGCCATTTTATACCTGGCAACCATAGTGACATTCCATTTGGTTCTGCCCCCCCCCCAAAAAAAGCTTAAGTGGTCCTCTTAGATTGGAATTACATGGACATTGGCAATCGATTTAAATAAATAGTCACAGTATTGAGATGGGTGGCCATATAAATTGTTTAAATGAATACATAAAAATAAAATATGCTTGGGGAGTTCTGAGACCAGCTAGTATAGTTTTAGCCCCTTTCTAGATTTGCACTGTAAAGAAATACGAGTTTCATTCCTTTAACATTCTGAATGTGGTATTGGATCTTTCTTTTTAAGAAATATTTCACTCACTGACATATTTTTTTTTAAACATAAGCTAATGCTCTTTAGATGGCTTGTGCGGTTATTTTTCACAGCTAAAGAAAGAGATTTTAAAACTAATTTTTAAAAAAATCACCAGTAAATACCACAGGGTTTTAAGAAGCAATGCAGTTACTCTCAATTTCATATCTTTTAAGTAATTTTTGTTTACCAAATCAGCTATGTCAGTGCCATCCGGATTAGATAAACATCATATGATCTGAACTGTTCCATTTGGTTTATAGCTAGGAGAATTATGTAATTGAATGCTTCCCCAAAATAAAAAAGAGATATATTTTGATTTATGAAAAGTGAGATGTGGTTATACAGATATTCACCTAGTTTGTGACATGCTACTTTTCTAGATGTAAATATTTTTCTTACCTGCAAGAGTGACAATCAATGCATTTTCCTATCTGCAGTTTATACAACATAAAAACAATATTACAATGTGTCTTTATCTATATCGTCTTGGCTACATTTACTTAAATTCAGAGAACAAGCTCCTCAAAATCAGTGAGATTAAATTTGGCACAATGATGTGAGAAATAAAACCAAATCAATCAACTCTTAGGTATGTAGAAAGAGATGGGGTGAATCAAAAGTCAGGTATTGCATTATCAGTATGTTACCTCTGTATTTTCCTCTAATTTCAGGTTGTTCATGCCCAATCTGGTGCCTCCAAAGATCCCCGATGGAGAAAGAGTAGACTTTGATGTGAGTATTCTTACACTGTTGCCTTACAACAGACCAGTTCTTCCTTACCACCAGAGCTTTTCCTGCATTTGAGAGAACAAGGCCAAATCTTGGTCATGCTTTTATTGCTCTGTAGGATATTCACCGTAAGCGAATGGAAAAAGATCTGAATGAACTACAAGCCCTAATTGAGGCCCATTTTGAGAACCGAAAGAAGGAAGAAGAAGAGCTGATATTCCTCAAGGACAGAATTGTATGTCAGAATTTCATACTTTTCATTTAGACCCTCTTTACTGACAGGCCCAGTTCTCCTAACAATGTTTTCTTACTGTTAATAATGATTTAACTGTTCTGTGACAACACATCAAAGTCATTAATTTTGGAGTTGTTAATACATAGCATCAAGACTGGGTTCATTGACAGCTTGGGAATCCATGATTATAATAATATGTAATTCTAGGCAATTCTTAATAGAGAAGAAGAGTTGTTGAATTTAGTGGCTATTGTTTCCATGTTAACATTACAGGATATCAGGACTGTATATTTAAAATATACATTATTATGGACCTTGTAAACCTGGAATAGGTTTTGTTTTTGTTTTTTTTCTGTCAAGGGTTACACTCCTGCAGGAATATTTTATTGGGGCCAAACTACATAATAATTGACAAGGGGCAAAAGAGTTTGGGGGGGGGGTGTCGCCATTTAATCTTTTCCTGACAGCCTCTTTCTTTTTCTAAGAATTTCTGTCTCCCCCTCCTGCCCATTGCTCTTTTTGACCCTATACAGTGTGTTCTCACTTTTTTCCTTCTCACATAGCAGATTGCCAAAGAAGGAACTGAACATTCTTGCTCTAGGTCTGAACTGATTGTCTGAAATTTGATTTGATTTGATTAGATTATGTGCTGTCCGGAAGCTTCAGTGGGTGCAAAATGCTGCAGGACTGGCAGTTATGTGTGCCCTTAGGAGGACACATGTCATACCTCTGCTCTGTGAGCTGCATTGGTTATCAGTTTGCTTCCAGGTGCAATTCAAGGTTCTAGTTTTGACCTTTAAAGCCCTACATGACATGGGGCCAGGTTATTTGAGGGACCGCCTCTCCCTGGTTACATCTACCCATCCCAGCCGGTCCAGCAGGAGGGGTATGTTACAGATCCTGTCTGCTAGGGAGTTCCGTCTGACAGGACCCAGGAGACAAGCCTTTTCTGCTGTGGCACCCTCCCTTTGGAAGATCATCCCCCTGAGATGAGGTTGGCCCCAATCCTTATGGCCTCCTGGAAAGCTCTCAATATGTGCTTTTTTCCTCAGGCCTGGGGATCCCCTGGCAACAGGGAGCCTGTGCATTGGCTGTATCATGTATAATATTCTGATTTTAACTCTCTCGCAATCTTGTTCTTATTTATGTTGAATTATTTAAGTATTTTAAGTAGTTTTATATGTTTTATATGTAAATTATGTTTTAATTGTTTGTTCTATTGTACGCCGCCCAGAGTCACCTTGTGTGAGATGGGTGGCCATATAAATTTGGTAAACAAATAAAAATAAATAAATAAATAAATAAGTTTTTGTCAACTCTTAATGACCACATAGATGGGATTGTCTCAAAAGGGGCTTTAAACTCAGTCTGAAAAGCACTTGTTTTTATTAGGCCACAACCTTCTGTATCAAAATCAGTAGCATTGTAAATATGTTGGTGTGGGTGTTTATATGTCTCTTACACATGCATATAAACATACAAACACAAGTTGTAAATATATTCTCCATGGTAGCATGCATATTTTCCCTTCTGAAATGCATAAAGAATTTAAGAATCACCACAGCAAATGCATTTGCTTCATAATGGGCTGTTTTGCTTTAGCAAAAAAGCATCTTATGTTCTTCAGTTCTTCAGTCTACTGAAATAAAAATAAGTGGTGCCCTTGAGAAATAAGACCTGAGTAGTATCCTTGAAAAAAACCATGTTTTATTCAACTTTTGGATTTGGGAATAATTTTCTGCTTTTCTCTTTAATCTCTTGGCTCCTTAAGTTTTACTTTCCACCAAGTCTCTCCACCACTTTCTGTTTTGTTTTGAATAAGTGGTTGAAAATTGAGAATTTGAGAACTTGGAAATAGGATTTCCATTGCGGAAAGATTGGCAAGATCTGCAAGCTGCAAAATGTGTGTATTGTTAAAGGGGAAACAAAATTGCAGATCCTTATTGATAAAGCAATTCTATGCATTTCTATTAGGAAGTAATCAATGTCTGCAGAGCAGTTTGTGCCCCTAATAAGTGCATTTAGGACAGTAACTATAATACCTTATCTTTATTGTTAGGAGAAATGATTTGAAATTAATTTCTTTACCTACTTCCTTACAACAATAACTTCTGTGCCACTTCAGTCAGACTGGTGTAATTGTAGTTCAAGTGTCAATATTTCTTGTTCATTCCCCATTGGCAGCATCAATATTTTATCATAAACCCCAACTGATTTAGGCCACTAGTCTCAGTTCAGGAAGATATATTAAAAATTAGGTTTTCTTTATATAGGAACAACGACGAGCTGAACGAGCTGAACAACAACGGATCCGTAGTGAGCGAGAGAAGGAACGCCAGGCCCGTTTGGCTGTGAGTCTATCCAAAATGCGGGTGTACTTCCCTGAGTGTTACTAGTGGAAGATGTCTCACTTCCTTTTCTCACTCTTTGGGAGCTATGACAATATCAATTGTCACAAAACATTCTGAGTTAATGCATAGTGTTCCATTTATACTGACTTTCCAAAAACATAACTGAATTATTTGCAGATTACTGTTTAACCCAATATTAAACTGAATTGTTTTGGGAGCTGACCATTGGTTTTATAGTCTCACAGTTATTATATAATGATATGGTTAAATACCAAATAGTATACTATTGATTTGATTTTTTTTAATTCAGAGAACAAGGTGGTGCTAATATAGAGTGCTAAATTTCATCATGTAATATTTGACCAATTACTGTTTATTGTTGCAGAATAGAACAATACTATACACTTAGTGAAAACTATTTTCTTTTTTTCAGCACTGTGACTTTTGCTTTGAAATGCTCAGTTCTCTAATGGAAGCATCCACCTTTTTCAAAGTGAATTTTTAACTTCTAGCTTTTGCAAAATTGAAAATATATCCTCCCATGTGTACATCAAACAAATTATTCTCCTAGGTGGTTTTGCAAGAGATCTGTACATCCACTCTGATCCTTTAATTCTTGATCTGGGACCTGGAAGCTCTGGGAAAGAATTTGCAAGCTGGGAGTTTTAATAGTCACAGTGCCAATACATCTGGAAAGGCCAGATGGGGAAGGCTGCTTTAGACCCACTGCTATTCTATTCATAGAGAAAAGCATCTTAACTATCAAATCTTTTTCTAATCGTCTTTTGGTGCAGCTGAACAACTCAAACAAGAACTAATCCAGAATTATCATTGTTCTGACTAACTTTCTGGCAAGAATTAGATTGTATTTATCTGCTATCATTTTCTCTGTGGCATCTGTTGGGTTAACTAATAATTTGACCTTGCTGTACATTCTCTGTCCTTCCGAAACCCATACCTCCTTTCTTGGTAGGAAGAGAGAGCTCGAAAAGAGGAAGAGGAAGCCAGAAAGCGGGCTGAAGAGGATGCCAGGAAGAAAAAAGCTTTCTCCAACATGCTTCATTTTGGAGGCTATCTTCAGAAGGTAGGTATATGGCTGTTTTAATAGATGACTGCATTGCAAAGAAAAGAGAGAAAAAAAGCAAAATTGTTGTATAAACTGTGTATATGTTAAATAATATGGATGAAGACACATTTCACAAATAATTACTGTCATGTAAACAGAAGTACATTACATCTCACTATAAGGTGATCAAATAAGCTGTGAGCCTATTCCATTTGCTGTCCACATTTCTAACTATCCAGGTTCTAACTACAAATTAAAAGCTTCTCTCTCCCACCCACCCAATTATTTTCTTCTTTTTAAAAAACTTTTGAACTGGATTTGGTTTGACTGGTCCTTAAAACAGAGGAACCCTTTCTCCAAGGAGCTGCTGTGCTCTGTAATGTAGGACCTGTGCCATGCAAGTGAAGGCTGAATTCACAAATTTTGGGCTCAGCATCTTCACTGCATGCTCTTGGAAAGACTTGCAGTAGTGTATAAAAATAATTTCATGCTTGCATTGCCCTTTGGGAACTCTTTATCCTTAGTTTTAATCCACATACACGTAACATTTTGCCCAATGAAATGGCCATTTGCAAAAGAATATTCTGGTCCTATTCTGTCCCTCACTGAGCACAACAACATGCTTTGTCATTTTAACACATATGTGAATTCTCAGATTCACCACTGGAGAGAAGTTGGTTGAACTTGAGAGCCATTGATGTCACTCATGAATTGATTTTTTTAGACAGAGAAGAAAAGTGGGAAAAAACAAACAGAGCGGGAAAAGAAGAAAAAGATCCTCAGTGAGCGCCGTAAACCTCTTAATATTGATCATTTGAATGAAGACAAATTGAGGTGAGAGGGGAGCTCATTCCTTGGTGGGAAGACATTGCTGGAGGGCCTTCTTTTCTTTAGGAGTGGAAATCAAGAAATGAGACAAAAACTGTATTTTACCTGACATTTCTTCTATTTCTTAGATATGATGTATGGCTCCTCAGGGACCAAGTAAATGCAACCTAATTTCTCACCATCACTAATGTCACTCTGTCAGAGGATGGCATGGACCTCTTACAACCAAAAGGGAGTTGATGCCCAACCATTTTCTAATCCCTAGACAACAATAACTGTAAATCCTATTTGCTTTGGTTATATTAAAGCATACCAAGCAGTTTTGTACGGCTGGAGAATACTGGGGGACAAATGGTATAAGAAAAACTCTAGAGGCACGATAGAGTAAACATACACTCAGTTCCTGAAAAGTGGGTAAGGAACCTATGGCCCTCCAGAAATTGGTTAACTGCAGTGTGGCAGATGGTGATACATGACATATAACTCCCATGTGGGCAAAGTACAAAGCCAAGTAGGTGTTAAAATGTTAATATACATTAAGCAAGTGGCAGTACACAAATAACTTTGATCTTAATAAAGCTAAATAGGATCAAACCTTGTTAGTATTTGGATGGAAGTCCAGGACAGTGTTCTAGACTGGGAAGTAAAAAAAACATTCTGGAAGAAGACAGTAGCAAACTAATTCTGTGTAGTTGCCAGGAAAACAATATAGATGTGTTCATGAAGTCCACCAGAAGTGAAGCTCAACTTAAGGGTCTCTTTAATTTTTTCTAAGTCAGTGTTACTGTATACCAGTGTTGTCCAAACTTGGCCACTTTAAGATGAGTGGACTTCAGTCGTGGGAGG